TGTTTTATTCACCAACCAACATATTCAGCACACAACTTCAAAACTTGTTACTTAATTATTTACAGAAAGTACTAGTAATTAATTAAGATTGCTTCTCTTTAGAATATATTTAAATTACTTCATATATTAGAATTCTGTTCGAATAAGACTATTAACCCCGTTTTAAAAAAAAGATTACAAACTTGAAAACACCCTAAAAATATTTTGTATGGATTTTATGTAATAAAACAAATTTGAATATCATAAGTTTGTCAAGTAAAAAAAAGTTTGACGAGGAATAAAATGCGATTGACGGATGGACATACCGATTACAGTATACCCTCCCACTTTTCAAGCGGGGGGTATAATAATGGAGATCTCTAACATTCCCTGTTCATGGCTTGAGTTACCTCCCTTTACTTAAAATGCTGCATTCCCAAAGGTTTATTGAATGATACCCTGATATGAGAAATAATTCTTGATGACATTAAAATATTTCATAAAGGTGAAACGCCTTTTTAGGTCACCTAAGTCACTCATGTGACCTATTGCTATCCGTTTTTGTCCGTCGGCGTGCGTCGTGTGACGTGCGTTGTGCGTTGTTCGTTCATATTTGAACATTTTCAACTTCTTCTCTAAAAAGCTGAACCAATTTCAGCCAATTTGAGCATATGGCATATATGGGTAAAGGGAAATAAAATTTATGAATTTCAGAGTCCCTGCCCCCCCCCCCAACCCTGGGGCCTGAGAGGTGGGGCCTAAACTACAAAATGAAATGCAGTCTTAAAAAATCTTCTTCTTTACTCCTGGACATCAAGCTGTCAAGTTGTTGGCATGATTGTAATAAGCAGTGAGCCATCTACCAAAATTGTGAAATTCATGGCCCCAGCATTTTTGCAAGCCAAGTTTTTTCGGTCCGTAACACTCCCCGGACCGAAAACCCTTGGCTTGCGAAGATGTCGCCCCAGGGTCAGGAGTTCTGCTGTTATGGCGTGGCTATATAGATCATATAGTGACTGAAAGTGCATTATTTCTTGAAAATTGTCTTCTCTACTCCTGGTTAATAAACAAACTAAGTACATAATTATTATGACCAAGAGTGCCGCTTCAAAAATTTATGAAATTGTTGGCCCCTGGGTCACGTGTTCTAGTGAAAGGGGGGGGGGGGTCTATTGATTATTTATTATTTTGAACATTTTTCGATTATATAGTGAAAATACATTATTTTTTTGAAAATCTTCTCTGTTCCTGGGTAATAAACAAACTAACAAAATACATAGTTATGGTGAACAAGAGTGCCTTTTTTTGAAATCGGTAGCCCTGTGTTATGGGCTCTAGTTCAAGGGGGGGGGGCTCTATAAATTATATCGTGAAAATATATTAATTCTTTGAAAATCTTTTCCTCTAATCCTGGGTTTTTAATAAACTACCAGGTAACTAAGTACATAGTTATGATGAGCAATAGTGCCTAGCTCTTCCCAAATTGTGAAATTCATGGCCCTTGGTTCAGGGGTTTTATTGTAAGGGGGACTCTAATGATCATAGTAAAAATACATGAATTCTTTGAAAAATTTTTCCATCATTTTTCCTTTACTCATGTGTATTATGCAAATGAGCTAAGTACTTATTTATGATGGAGAAATATGCCTCATTCAAAATGATTCATTTCAGGGCCCTCGGGTCAGGGTACTGGGGGACGGGGATTACATATTCTGAAAATAAATAAATTCTTTAAAATCTTCGAATAATCAGAGGTGGAATCAGGTGTCATGGAGGAGTGGGCATCCCCTGCCGGACCGGTCACACCCCCCGAGTGCTCCTTGTTATGATCGGGAAATAACGGGAAAATTCGTCGTCAATTCAGTGTATAAATAATGGACAAATAATTAGTAAAACAGGAAATTCCTTAATTTTTTCCAGGGATTTTGGCTCATCGATTGACTGATTGATTGTATACTGTTTAACGTCCCTCTCCAGAATATTTCACTGATATGGAGACGTCACCATTGCCGGTGAAGGGCTACAAATTTAGGCCTATGCTCGGCACTTACGGCCTTTGAGCAGGGAGGGATCTTTATCGTGCCACACCTGATGTGACACGGGGCCTCGGTTTATACGGTCTCATCCGAAGGACCGCCCCATTTAGTCGCCTTTTACGACAAGCAAGGGGGTACTGAGGACCTATTCTAACCCGGATCCCCACGGGGCTGGCTCATCGAGTTTTTAGGGAGCATGGGGTATGTGAGCTTGCTCATTTTCTCATTCATTTTTTGCTCACCTTAGCTGAAGGCTCAAGTGAACTTTTCTGATTAAAATGTGTCCGTTTTCTGTCGTTGTTGTCGTCGTAAACTTTTCACATTTCCATCACATTTGCTCAAGAACCACTAGACCGATTTCAACCGAATTTAGTACAAAGTAACCTTTGGGAAAGGGAATTCAAGTTTTTTTTTTAAATGAAGAGACATGTCCTCTTCGAAGGGGAGATCATTATGATTTAGTGGAAAATTAATTGCATCTTTTAAAAATCTTCTTCTCAAGAACGACTTGGCCAGGAAAAATGAAACTCGTGAGGAAGCATCCCCACGTAGTGTAGATTCATATTTGTTCAAATCATGACTCCAGGGGTAGGATGTGGCAACAATGCATGGGGAATCAAAGTACAACATAGGAATGTATAGAAAAAATCTAAAAATCTCGAGCCTGTGGGCCAGGAAAGATGAAACTTAAGTGGAAGTATCCTCTGGTATTGTTGATTCAGGTGTATTCAATTCATGACTTTCGTGAGTAGGATGGGGCCACAATGGGGTATTAAAGTTCAACATAGGAAAAATCTTTAAAAATCTTCTCCTCGAGAAAAAGGTAATTTAGATTGAAATTTGTTCAAATTATGACCAACCAGGAGAATAGAGGAGCCACTGTAGTGGATCATTGTTATACATAGGAATATAAAGGCTAAATCAATAAAATCATCATATGAACAGAAAAGCCAATATGTACCATATTTGAATTAATTTAAAAGCTTCTGTGGAAAAAAATTGATTTAAGTTTGTTCATTTACTCCCCTCCCCACCTCCCTGGAACTAACTTTTATATCTAAACTTCAATACTGTACCTATTTTTGCTTTTACCTAGCTAGTTGCTCAGGTGAGCGAAGTGGCCCATGGGCCTCTCATTAATTTAAGCAGAAGAATAGTTTATGAGATAGAAAATATGCTTTAGTTAACTGGTCCACATCTTGAATCTTATTTATCTAACAGTGGGTGCATAATAAAAGGTATAGAAGGCTGCAGAGAGTGAGGGTTAACAGAGTAACTTCAGGCAAATACTTCTGACCGTAATAACCTGTTTTAGTTATTTGACCAACTCCGTTTTTAAAAAGATGCATTTATTGACGTAGTTTGAGGGCAACTTGCGCTTCGTCGGACCCAAGAACACACCTGTCTGCCTGACGCCGAAGCCAGAGAGTTTGGGAAGAGGGTCGACAAAACGCATTTTTTTTGAGTTCTTGTCTGAGAATGTCTGAGTTCTTGTCTGAGAACTCGGTCAATAAATATATATATATATATATATATTATTTAATCAATATTTTATTATGTTAAAGTACATAATTGGATCGGACATCAGGCATGGCCTATATAAGTCCTCTCCAAGGTGTAACAATATTTTGTTACACCTTTCAGTTTTTTGGTTTGACATACATGGTTTTTGTACTGTCTTCCGTGATGTAACATCAGGTCCGTCACTGTTGAATACCAACGAATGAAAATGAGATTAAGTTCCACCCACTCTGTGACGTAAGTGGTCCAACATCTCGTCAACTGGTCCAACATCTCATTCAAAGTCCAAACATCGATCTGTCATGCCCGCTCAGCAGAACATTAGAAATTTTAGACTTTTACGCACAAAGGACTTTATTCATTAATGACCAATTTTCGCCCCCCCCCCCCCCATTCAAATTTTCACGGAGAAATTATAATAATGTTCTATCACAGGGGGATATTTGCTGACTTCAAAGCACTGAACATTTTTGTCATCAGTGACGTCAAATGTTTAAAATGACGTCACAAAAATAACGTAAATTTAAAATTTCCATGATTTCCACAGAAATATCTATATTACGTCGATATTTTGAGTAAAAATCACCAAGCGCAGGTCTGATCAGGCCCCAAGACCATAAACTGAGAACAGAATTAAGTCAAAATTTCAAATTATATAAATTTAGAATTAATTTTAATAATAAAATAAAATTTTCATCATATGTTTGAATTGAAGTGGTTCGAACAATTGCAAAATTTTAAGGTAATACCCTTAGTACATTGAATGAAATTTAAGATATTAAAAATCAAAATTTTGACTTAAGTCTGTTCTCAATTTATGGTCTTGAGGCCAGGCTCAATGTTTTGATATAATTTGTAAATTGATAATATCAATGAAATATGTGAATATCGTTCCTGAGCAAACTTGTGTTCTATAAATTTTATAGCTAAAATTGAAGAAATTTTATCCATTTTGTCCTTTTTCTAAAAAAAGGATATAAAATCGGACGAGTTTGTGGCGTCATAAAATCAAAAATAGTCAATTAACTACCTTGAAACTATGTTATGTTTTGTTAATTCCTATTTTCATACAATTTATGGAATTCAGTACATTTCAAGAATTTTTCAAAATTTGACTTTTGTGGGGGTAAATATATGCAATATACCGGATATAGTTCTTTGTATAGGAACACAATTTTTAAGGTATAACGACAAAATTTCTCTTCCAATTGATTCTTCTTACTTTTTCATCATTGAAAATTAAACTAAAATTATCAGCCCTGCTTACTGATGGAAAAAGTCAAATAAATGAAAATTATTTTTTTCATTCTCTAAAGCAGATTCTTCTTAAGAGTAACAATTAAATTCATTTGTAAGAATAATAAGTTCATTTATTTTCGAATTAAAGACAATAAGATGGAAGTTGAACATAACTTTGGGTCAACTTTTAAAGCCCAGATATTTCTACCGGGAAAAAATTCCAAAGATCTTCATAATACATCAAAGCCTAACATTCAACAATGATATTACAATATCTCCATGTTTTGGGTAGCAGGATTGGTTATTAACACAAAATAAGACCAACCATTTTCATTGGAATAAAGATGTGATAAATATTCCACAAATCTGCTGAAGAACAGCAGGGCTACGGAAACTCATTGATATCCATGGACCGCATATTTTGAATTAAAGAATAAATCAGAGACCATAAATAAAGATATAAAGAGACTTTATCACTCTCAGGTAATTTGTTTTTAATGTTTTGCATTTATTTAACTGATTTTTATAAAGAGAACCCTCCCTGCTCTATTCTCATTTGTGTAGCTGTTTGTATTTTGTTGTATGGTTCTTGTCTGAGGGATTGTTGGTATGAGTTTAGAGCAGCCTGTAGGTTCCCTGTCACCTGTTGACAGATTCCCAGAATCTGCCACGATATGTCTCTGTGATGTAAAGGTATAAGCTGTCCCTGATCATGGAGAACTAGGGTCTGTAGATTATCTAGAGCTGTTTGTACTCTCATTGTGTCTACATGTCTGTAGCACAAGATCTCTAGCATGTATAACAGTATATAGGGTGGGACGTATAATACAGGCCAGAAATTCTGTAGAGCAGACTGTTGTTCTGGTATCAATTCATTGATGTAATGGATTTCATTGTCAAGTCGGATATTCCTTGCTACAGCCTGTCTCATCTTTGTAGACCAGGACTGTCCTCCTACAGCCTCAGTATACATCTCTATATCTACATTATACCCATACATCACATGTAGCTGTGCTAACTTGACCTCGATCATCTCCATAATAGTTGTAGCTTCCATGTATCTAAATGTCTTGTAATAATACATAGCTATGTACAGCGTGTCAGTAATACAACCAAACTTGGTTGCTAATTTCAGCATTTGACAGGAGATTTTATGAGATCTATACATCAGTTTGTTTTTATGTGTGCAAGTTTCAATGTGAAATATAAAAGCAGTTTCATTAAGGACATTAGCTGTAAGTCTCTGTAGCATCATGACTTGATACTGTGTCAGGAGTGGTGAACCTATCATCTGTTCTATTGTTTGTAGAGATCTCATATAACTTTGTATGCTTGATTTGTGTAATGCTTCATGTTCCTGAATTTCCTTATATAGGTTTTTATCAAACCCAGCCTCAGAAATCAGAGTATGTTCATCTGTACAGATGGAGAGCCTGAGGTTATGTAGAACATTTGTAATACAAGACCGAATGGAGGGACTGTGTAACAGGAATGCTAAACCCTTCTCATACAACCCATACAGTCTTATAAAGAGCTGATGTTGTTTGTCGCCACGAATTTTACTCAGAAACATGTTGTTATCTGGAATGAAAAAGTTAGGACAGAACCCCTCATAAACCCATTTCAAGATGAGTTTAAAACAGACCCAGAAACACCCCAGGAGATTTTGTGGACTCCAGTGAGGTATTACATTTTGTTGAATCACCCAGAAAACCACTGTCTTCATGTGATATGAACACAGTAATTTATCATCACCACCAAGTCCATTGTTAATAATTTCTGTTAAGAACAATTTAAGCAAGCCGTATGTCAAAAACTGACAGTGGTTCATTGTATACACAAGTTTTTGCTCTGCTAGAGAGAAAGAAATTCTCCATTCAAGGTGTTCATGACATCCTAGCTTATGTCCAATTGCTACAAAGTGACATCCTTGTTTTACTATATTATCAACAACATGACGCTGGGGCCAAAAGTGACATCTGTCTATCCATGAGGAGGCAGATGGAGGCCAAAAGTCACAAACAAAACAGATGGCTTGATCATATTCTAGTGTTCTGAATGTTCCACTTGCACAAGGTCCATGCCGAGTTGACGTTCTTATAAATGCTGAGCATATGAACTGTATGAATTTAGAACTAGATATATAATGTCTGTTATTAATTTGAACACAAGCTGTCTGGATTCCAGTGTCCGTGCTTGGTGACAGTAAATATAACAAAGTAAATCCTGGTGGACTATTAGAACAGTCACAGAGGACCAGTGTTTGTCTGTGTGTGTTGTAATACTGAGACTGAGATAATTCCCAGATCACACGGTGATCATTTGGCCAGTACATAAAGTCATGATCTGATCCTTCCAGTCTGAATCCTTCTCTTTCACTTCCACTCTTCATGCTACTGTGGTCATCACTTGATCTCACTTGATTGTCCACCATCTCCCTGATGTCCATCACATCTCTTCTCATGGCCACCAGTTGTGAAGTTCCCACTTTACGACACAGTCCCACAAACACTGACTCTGATATGTGTTGTATGGCTCTTTTACTGGTAAAAATAAAAAAAAATCAATATACTGTGAAATCACTAACTTTCGTGGGGATTTAATTTTCGTTGTTTTCGAGATATGAGGAGACCCATGAATTCATGCCCACCACTAAATGTAAATTTTCATATGCTCAAGTACTAAAAAGCTTCTAATCCACGAAATCAAATCCCTACGAACCAATATTTTTTCCTTAAACCACGAAAATTTGACCCCACGAAAACATGTGATTTTACAGTAGTAATCATCATTAAAATACTAATCTATATTCCAAAAAATAAGTTTATACCTGCAGATTTAAAGAATGTTTACAAATATCTAAATCGTTCCTACTCTAAATACACAATAAAATAGTTTTCTGAAGTATTTTGATAAAGTTAAAATTAAATATTATGAAAGTGCAAGGACGCGTCGATCAAACACCATCAGAAATTAGAATTTTCTATAACTTTAAATAATTTTGTATGAAATGCATGCTTATATAGCATCACATAAGTTTGTATGAAATGCATGCTTATATAGCATCACATAAGTCATGAAATTATACAGAGAGTTACAGAAAATATAAAATTCTCATCTCCAGAAAAGCAAAACATAGTAGCATAGTCATGTTGAAATTGAAATGTATTTCCATGACTTGTATAGTTTAATTCAATAAATCTTAAACATGGAATCGAATTTTATTTAGGGAAAAATGTCATAATAGCAGGTCTAAATTGGCTAGGAGGTCAGTGTTGTGTCATAGGATTATCGTTTACCTCATAAAATGCTTCACATGTTTCAATCTTTCTAAGGTTATCATTTATTTACCAAAATCTTAAAAAAAAACTGATTAACATAACATAAGCATTTTGATACGTCATACAATTCTACATGAAAACTTACGTTAAATAATTTTGTGAGCCTCTTATGGAGTCCATGTTGAGAGGTAAGATCTGAAAAGTTCCGGGTGCTATATTTAGTAAAAAGAAAAATCCATCTACTTTCGTTTTGATATATTTTGCCTTTTTGTATCATTGAAGATAAAATCATGGAATGGCATTAATGACAGCTAACTTTTTAAGAGATACAATTAAATGAACAAACAATTAACATATATTGACGCAAGAATCAAAACTCGGCTGCAAACCAATTGGTCCTTTCAATGAAGCAATTAGAAACTGGAATGCTTGATCTGTTATTAAAATATCTTATATTTATCTGTTAATAAATATATCTCAGTGACATTGTGCATTTGTTTGCGACTTTACAGGATTTTCTTCAACACATAATACATATACATTAATACATGTATAAGCAAACTACTCATAGTCCGCTGCGTCTCCGTGCACAGTTTGTTACAAACCAACTCGATCTGTCGGAAGTTTGATGTTTTTGTCTTTAAGGTCATACGACACGTTCCTCAAATATACCGGTATGTCCTGTTACTCTTGGTATTATATTCATATTTGTCATTCTCTTCTGATTTCTACATTGTTTTCAAAATTCTTATAGGTATAAGTACACCCAAAATTGTGATAAAGGCCATTCAAGAGATTTCCCATAAGGGGTATATAAGAAATATGACTCTGCTTGGTAAGTTACCCTCATTTTTCGTGAGGAAACTTGTTTAAGTACCTTTACTTCAATGACAAATTTTGAGGAAAAGTTATACGTTTTTGAGGAAAGTGTCGTGTGATCTTACAGTAGTTTTTACATTTAAAGGTTAGAACTAAAGGTTAAAAGCTTATCTTAATCATATGAATGTTCAATAATTTAATTTAAACTGCTTTAACTCCACAGAAACGCACGACGACTTCAAACTTTCATATCAAACAAGTAGAGCTTTTTAAAAAAGCTTACCGTCTTTAGCAACAATCTTAAACAGTAAACTGGTCTACACCTATCAGGCCGTATAATTCTTTTGAATTTCTTGCTTTTGTATTTCTAAATTAGCTTTTAACGGGCATTAGCCCTACCACGGTTGTCGCTCGGTCATCTCCGTAAACTTTGACTGGCCGAGAGCTTTCGGCAAACCTCGGCTTCCATTCCATTTTCAAACAAAAAGGTGAAAAGAATAATAACAAATTGTAAAGCCTGCAAGCAATAAAAATTTTATTATATTTATCATGAAATTATAGAGACCTTTTTATTTATTGCTATAAAAAATATCATGTTATTAAGAAATAATTACTGCTGATTTTGTTGTTCGCTTATCTTAATCATATGAATGTTCAATAATTTAATTTAAACTGCTTTAACTCCGCAGAAACGCACGACGACTTCAAACTTTCATATCAAACAAGTAGAGCTTTTTAAAAAAGCTTACCGTCTTTAGCAACAATCTTAAACAGTAAACTGATCTACACCTATCAGGCCGTATAATTCTTTTGAATTTCTTGCTTTTGTATTTCTAAATTAGCTTTTAACGGGCATTAGCCCTACCACGGTTGTCGCTCGGTCATCTCCGTAAACTTTGACTGGCCGAGAGCTTTCGGCAAACCTCGGCTTCCATTCCTTTTTCAAACAAAAAGGTGAAAAGAATAATAACAAATTGTAAAGCCTGCAAGCAATAAAAATTTTATTATATTTATCATGAAATTATAGAGACCTTTTTATTTATTGCTATAAAAAATATCATGTTATTAAGAAATAATTACTGCTGATTTTGTTGTTCGTTTTGTCATTTTTATAAGATTGAAAATCTTGCAAAATTGTTAAGTCGTACGAAAATTAGATCATCAGAAAGTTATCTCCTTGCCTTGAACAGCATTTCAACCAATGAAATAATTGAAAATTTTTTCATCATGCAATTTCTACCAATCACAAAAGAGAGGAAGTGCATAGTCCGAAGACTGTAAAAAAACTTCAACTATACAATACCGTCTTCCAAGGAAGACAGTAATAACCGACCGCCTCCTGGCGTCCAATAACAAGAGGCCCATGGGCCACATCGCTCACCTGAGCACATCAGCTAGGAAAAAGCACATCAATCAGATCAGAACTGAAAAGTTTACTGAGAGGGAGGGTGAGGGCTCGTGAGAGGGCTTTAATTCTAATACTACTTGAGAATGCCTCCGTATCAATATTGCATATAACTTCTTGAGAAAAAGATAATATAGATTTTTTTTAACATTTTGTTTGTACATATTATATATTACTTTGTAATAAATTGAACTTGACTCCCCATTGCTTCCCTCCCTACCCCAAAGGGTACTCATGATTTGAACAAATTTAAATATTCAATGGATGAGTATGCTTACATGTCAATATGACTAAAAGTAGCTTTTCTGTTATTGGGATTTTTCTCTTTATTTTCCTATGAAAAACTGTGATTTACCATAGTGGCCCTTCTTTATCCTTGGAGGTTATGATTTGAACAAATTTAGTCCTACACTATCTGAGGATGCTTCCATATAAATATCACTAACTATGGCTTTGCTATTCCACAGAAAACGATTTTTTAAAATATGTTTTAATGTAAAACTTGGACCCCCATTTTATGATTTGAACAAACTAGAATCAACAGTACCTGAGGATGCTTCTACATAAATAACACTGATCGTGGCTTTGCAGTACATGTACTTGAGAAGAAAATTTTTAAAGATTTCTCTATATATTCCTATGTAAAACTTTAATCAGCCGTTGTGACCCTATCCTAACCCGAGGGGTCATGATTTGAACAAACTTGAATGAACACTATCTGAGGATGATTCAACATGAGTTTAATCTTTCTTGTCCCAATTGTTCTTGAGAAGAAGATTTTTAAATATTTTTCGTATATATTCCTATGTTAAACTTTGATCGGCCATTGTGGCCCCACCCTGCCCTCGGGGGTCATGATTTGAACAAATTTGAATTTACACTGTCTGCATGAGGGTGCTTCCACATGAGTTTCATATTTCCTCGCACAGTGGTTCTGGAGAATAAGATTTTAAAAAAAATTCTATAAACACTGTACATGTATTCCTTTGTAAAACTTTGATCGGCCATTGTGGTCTCACCCTACCACCGAGGGTCATGATTTGAATAAATTTGAATATACACTACCTGAGGATGCTTCTACATGAGTTTCATCTTTCCTGTCTCAGTTGTTCTTGAGAAGAAGATTTTTAAAGATTTTTCCTATTTATCCCATGTTTACCCCTTCCTCCCGAAGATATAGCTCAAGTGATATCGTTTTTATATCCCACACTTAAGTGCAGTTATGACGTCACAATAGCTTTTGCGTTAGTGTGATGACGTAAAATAAAGGGGAGTCCCATATAAAATAGTGTTAATATAGCGGAGTCCCATATAAAAATAGTGTTAAACATAGGTTGTGAAACAATAAACATAGGATAAAAAGAATCTCCGATGGTTTGTAGTTAGATATGATTTTTATCCAACTCTATGTGTGTTTTTTTTTATCCCTATGCCAAGGCTCGGGGATAAAAATCACACAACTCATTTGATATAATTCATATCCAGCTACAAACCATGGGAGATCCAATATATATTCCTATATAAAACTTCTATCGGACATTGTGGCTCCACCCTACCACCAGGGGTCTTGATTTGAACAAACGTAAATGTACACTATCTAAGGGTGATTCAACATGAGTTTCATCTTACCTGTCCCTATGGATCTTGAGAAGAGGATTTTCAAAGATTTTTCTTATATATATTCCAATGTAAAAGTTTGATCGGCCTTTGTGGCCCTTCCCTACCCCCGGGGGTCATGATTTGAACAAACTTGAATCTATACTACCTGAGGATGATTCAACATGAGTTTCAACTTTCCTGTCCCTACGGATCTTTAGAAGAAGATTTTTAAAGATTTTTCCTATATATTTCATATAAAACTTTGATCGGACATTGTGGCCCCATCCTACCTCCGGGGGTCATGATTTGAACAAACTTGAATCTATACTTCCTGTGGATGATTCCACATGAGTTTTATCTTTTCTGGCCCAGTGGTTCTTGAGAGGAAGATTTTTTTTAAATGCCGTTAATTTTTCACTTATTCATAATTATTCCCCTTGGAAAATGGCGTGGTCCTTCATTTGATGAAACTTGAATCCCCTCTACCCAAGGATACTTTTAGCAAGTTTGGATGAAATTGGTCCAGTGGTTCTTGATAAGAAGATGAAAATGTGAAAAGTTTACAACAACGACGACAACGACAGACAACGGACAAATTTTGATCAGAAAAGCTCACTTGAGCCTTCGGCTCAGGTGAGCTGAAAATGTGTAGGAAATTCATCTACGTTATATTTTGTTTATGGTCGACAAAACAGTCATAGTTTTAATTGAAACCAGGCAAGCTTTGATCAAGGTAAATAGATCGATTACTTGAATTAAAACAAGAGAAGAACAAAAGCTTTTCTCTTGACCTACACAAGGGCATACCTACTTTTATCTAAATGCACCTTTTAGGACCCTGCTTGTGAGAAAAATCAGACCTTCCGAACAAATATCCTGGTTCTCTTTACTCACTTTTTGGATACTCCCTATAGAGGGGATGCTTTCCCCTCCATGGCACGTGATCTTATACCTGATGCTTTAGAGGTCCGTATTTGCTCCGCTACCAATTTATTAGGTTTTATTTGACTTTTGAGCTTGATTTTCCACATGTACATCAAGATTTTATTACAGTCGTACCTGAAAAAGTATTAATTTAATACAAATTACCTCTCCGGATAGAGCAGTGCCACAATAAGGATACAAAGTTTTACATAAAAATGTATATAAGAAAAATCTTAAAATCTTCTCAAAAGCTATCAGCCAGAAAAGCTGAAACTTATTTGGAAGCATTCTAGGGTAGTGTACATGCACATTCTAAATTGCAAACATCATGACCCCTGGGGGTAGAGTGGGAGCACAATAGGGAATCCATATTTTACATTGAAATATATAGAAAACAATCTTAAGAAAACTTCTCAAGAACCACTGGGCCAGA